CCCACCGCACCCGGAACTCCTGGCCTCCACCCTTCCCGTCGCCGACCCGGCAGTTACCTCCTCGGTAGCCTGGTAGTCTTCCATCTTTCCTCCTGCGCGTCGCCGCCGCCTCCCTGAGTAGAGCCCACTGCGCAGGCGCACTCAGACCCCGCCTCTCGTGCGCGAGGCGGGCCCCGCCCTCCCCGGGGCCCCGCCCACCCCCTCTAGGGCACCGCCCTTCCCTTGAAGGCGGTGCCGCCTGGGCGGGTCCCGGCGGGACCGCGGGATTAGCTCCTCCCTTTTCGGCCTCCCGGGCGGAAAGTTCCGGCGGGAACCCGCCTGGGTATCCCGGCAGGTCCCCAGATCGCAGCAACTAAAAGCAAAACAAATGGACAAAGAGAGTCCGGGAGGGAAAGGGTCGTCTTGGCCCCTCCCTCCAGTTTGTACTGTGCGGATTAATTTGAACATTTAAGCGGGTTTGGACACCTAGTAACAAATTGTAAAGAGATTTCTGAACGTGATGGGCAGTCTGAGATGTTGTTTGCAGTTCTTTGGGGATCCAGGATTAGGAAACTTTAGCGCTGAACGAAACGTTTCTTATGGAGGTAAGTTTTCCATATAAATGAAATTTTATTTTTCCTTCGAGCACCATTAAAAAACTCATTTTGGATGGAAAATTTTGTAAAATGCTGCACACTTCCTGGCTACCTTAACCAGAATGACATAGACTTAACTTGTCTACAAGGGTTTCTATAAAATTAGTAATTGCACTGGTCTCTGGTACAGCGCTCTCCAAGAAGGGCAGTTAAGTGTGCTGCCTGTATGTGATCTGAGTCTAAGACCTTTGACTTTATGAGCTACTTTTTCTGGTTTTATCACGCCCACGAAGTCAAGCTTTGTTACTTACTACCTCTCCAAAACCTAGCAGGTAAAATCCACTTCCCATCCTCCCAAGATGCGCTGACCATAGGATCCCCAGTTATGGTAGAAATAAACTGCAGAGACCGCATTCAGTCTATCCGCAGACCTTGTTTCTACCGTATAGAATCTAAGTTCCATGCTGGCAGAATCCGTTTTATTCACTAATTTATCTCCTGCCTCTTCAGTTGTACATGGCACCTAGTAAGTGCACAGTTAAAAATTACTGAATAATTGAATGATTTCCCCACATATTATTTCTGCCTCATACTCTGTTGCAGAGAACTGGGAGTAGAGGGAGATGCAATCGCCTGCCTCCTTGTGGGAAGGAAGAGGGGCAGAGGAACACAGGGTGAAAGACACAAGGCTGCCCTGCCCTGGACACCTGACCTGAGCAGGGGGACCTGCTGAGTGGGGACAGGGTGCCCTCCCACACCTGGTTTCTGCTTCTCAGATTCTAAACTCTTTTTACCTTTTGAGTTTGGGTGTATTTATTTTTTAAATTTCTTCCTTAATGGAGATACTGGGGATTGAACCCAGGATCTGGTGCATGCTAAGCACATGATCTACTACTGAGCAGTAACCCCCCTTTACCTTTTGAGTTTTGTTCCCTTCCTAGTTCCAGTGTTTCAGCCTTGAGCTTCAGTCTACATGTGATTCTATGTCTGGCATTTCTGTTTCATCTTCCTGACATTCCCAACTTCACCTGAAAATCCCATTTTAGGTGTTCTCAGTCACTTAACCCTGCCTGCCCGGTTCCAGGCCCTCAGTGACACCACACTCCAAGCCAAACAGGGACCTTCTCATTCTCTTCTCATTTTCTTCTGCTCTGGTGGCCCCAGAGGCCCACTAGCTAGGCGTCTTAGAATTATGTGCAAAGCAAGAGTGAACAGGTTCTGAGTGGACACCTGGAATTGAAGACTGTGAGGTTTGGGACATCTTTTCTAAATTGCTTCAGCCTTCAAGGAATATCATAATTCAAATGAGTGTCCTGAATGGCTGCTGGGATAGTGTGTTAGTAATGCTTAGACCTTAAATTGTGACTGAAAATCACCAGCATGTGTGTAAATCAACAGAAAACATGTAAATGTAAATTTAAAAAAATTTTTACGTAACTTTGTCTACATTGGATATCACTCTCCAATTTTAACTATCAAAGAACATTCCTTTAATGATCGTGATACATGTCATTTTGACTCTGCCCCAGAAGTGGATGAATTGGTCTGTTTATCTTCAGAACAATTTGTTCCTTACTCAGCGCACATATGGTGAGCACTCACTTTGCAGCAGCCTCTGAGCTGGAGCAGAGGCTACAAAGTTGACTAAGATATGGTCTCTATGAAAAAATTTGAAAAGCAAATTTCAGTCAGTGGGAAGATTTGAATTCTCTAGGCTCAGTGATGCTGCAGTGCTTGTTAAAATGCAGTGCTGTGGTCTTGTATTCTGCCGAATTGGTTTATGCCCTGGAGGGCTAAGGAACTTAAATCACTAGGACGTTTGGCAGTTCACTAACTGCCATTCCAGCACCTCCGCTCTGCCAAGAATGACTGCCCCTCAGCAGTCCTGGGGTATACGCACACCGACTCAGAGTTGCTCACGACTCTCCAGGATTCAACCAGATTTTGGAATAATGTTTCGTTTGTGTGTAGCGAGTCAGTGGAGTGGATCTTGGGTTTGTTTTTCAATTTGGGTCTCACCTGTAGCTTGGCAGGTGTTGGGTGCTTACTTTCTTCGAGTTAAGTCTCTTAAATACACTCTTTAGAAATGGGATTGGTGTTGTCAATGCCTTTATTTAGCAAATGTGGGCCTAATAATCATAGCCTTGTTGCCTCCACAAATAATATCCCCAGCCACAGTCGGGTCTGCCAGTGCTGGCCATGCTCTGTAGCTCTTTGCCTCTTAAATACAGCCCCGTGGATGCTTGAGTTTTCCTTCTTTTCCCCGTGCTTAGGAGTGTGTTGCTGAGTTGTACCATGGAGTCATGCTAAGCTGACAATAATAATGATGATACGGTGATGAAGATGGCAGTTGCAAAACACTCAAGTCCAAGAAATTTAATCTCGTAATGGAAAAGAAAATAAACTGTAGCTGACACATATCTAAAGTGGTAAGAAATTACATGCTCAGGAGATTAGCTAAGAAATGCCTATATTTAAGTCTGCTGTCAGCTGGGACGCACAGGCACAGTGGGGCTGAAATACGTCTGTACCAACTGGAAATGGCTATTACTCTGAGCCCCTTAGGTCCCTCTTCCTCCCAATCCTGGCTCCCCCACCCCTTCCCTGGAGCCTTATCCCCAAGATCCAACAACTAAAGGATAACTCAGGGCACAGCAGGGGCATTTCTTCTGATTGGTTGGTTTTCACGCTGTGGTAGTGATTAAATGGTTTATCAGTTCTGTGTCTATGAAAAAGACGCACACCCTACATCAGTCAGCATAGGCTAGGTTAGTTGTTGAAACAAATGACCCTAGACTCTTGGTGGTTGACGACAACAAAGGTGTATGTGTTGCTACATGACCATTGAGGGTCCGCTATGGCTCTGCCCCATGTCTTCTCCACACAGGGACCAGGTTGGTGGAACATCTTGACTCTGAAGACTTTGAGGGAGAGGGAAGGGCTGGGGGATGGTGGCCCGGGTCCTGGTTAGGAAGATGCTGCTACCAGTAACACAGATATAGAAACAGAAAGAAAACTTTAAAGAGTAACATCCTGACAACAAGTGCTTTTCTCTAGCAATACTGTTAACATTTTGTAAGTTTGACAGTATTTGTTGTTGGGTTTTTATTTGGTTTTAGTTGTGTGCTTTTAATTTGCCGAAGTTAGTAGCTGCAGCTTACCAACTGCACCAACGTTCTCGATTCTAGGGGCCCAGCTTTAGTCATTTGCACATACTTCTAAATAAAACAAAGCAAAAAAACCAAAGCTATACTTTTGATCTATAATAGCTCAATAACTTTGTCCAGGAAAGCTCTGATATAGGCAGTGATGGTTTTTGGAAGGGTGTGGCAATTTTAAATTTATGTTTTCTGTGATGTTCCAATAAAGTGATATCTACATTCATGTGATGAAAAAAACAAAAAAAAATGTGCTCACATTTCATTGTCCAGAGCGAGTCTTGGCCCGCCCCAGTTTACAGGGCGGGGACATTTCCTAGAGAAGAATGCCACAACCTGCCACACACAGCTTTCCGAAGGTTTCCGCTGGTAATTTATCTTGTTCACTCTCTCTTTGCCCGACTCCTGCCCCCTCAGCAACTCAGCCTCTTTCCCCTTCCACTGCTACCCTGCTCTAACCCCCAGGCCAGCCCTGGGTCACCTCACTTCAACTTCAGCTGTGATCTAATTTATGCCTGCTCAATTTCAACACCCAGGCATCTTTGCCAACTCTTCCCTGCTGTCGCCACTGTAGCCTGGGGCCTTAGGTCACTGGTCTCCAAACTTCTTTAATTACGCTCTTCTGGCAGGAACCATTTTTGTGCAGGTGTCCCAAAGGTATGTTTGTTTCAACTATGACGTATTAAACTATGAACCCATTATTAAATAGTAATAAAGTTTAGGTTTTAGCTTTTTAAAAAATAAATGTAGATAGAAGTTCTAATGCTAGTATGCCCTACTGTTATGGGCTGAATTGTGTCTCTCCCCATATTTATATGTTGAAACCCTAACCCCCTTGGACTTCAGAATGTGACATTCTCTATTTGGAAATAGGGTGTGTTTGAAGACAGGGTCTTTAAATAGGTGGTTAGGTTAAAATGAGGTCATTAAGGTGATCCTGATCCAATACAGCTGATGTTCTTATAAGAAGACGAGATTAGGGCACAGACAGGCGCAGAGAAATCATGGGAAGTCAGAGGTAAGACAGCTGCCTACGGGCCAAGGGGCAAGCCTCCAGAGAAAACCAGTTTTAGAAACACCTTGCTCTTGAACTTCTCGGCTCTGGAATTGCGAGAGCACACACTTCTGTTGTTTAAGCTACACTACACAGTCTATGACATTTAGTATTTGTTGTAGTAGCCGTAGCAAAGTCGTACCTGCTTTGGAAATGATCCTTCTGGGACACCCTCATCTGAAAACATTTTCCTCCAAATATCCCTAAGTGGAGTCACTGAGTATCTAATGCTATAAAACAGTAAGGCTACTGCTAAATTGACAGCAGTTACCATTTATTAAGGATCTTCTTAGGCCGAGGGTCCTCTACCACGATCACCCTGGCCTGACGAAAAAGGTGCACAATAAATGTTTGTGAGTGAGTTGAGTGAACTGTAATGTAAGAGGGAACCCTCGGAGAGGCCAGGTGCTTTGCTCAGGGTGACTCAGGTCTGTCTCACCCCAAAGCCTGCCCTCTTAATTCGCTCTTCCCACTTGTCATTTTAACCCTCCCGCCCATGCCTGCTCCTCACCTGGTAGAGTTCCCCATCCCCTGAGTCATCATCCTCAGGTCACGGAAGAATGAGATTTCAGAACCAAAGAGCCAAAGGGATGACCAAAGTGAATGTCATTTACAGCCAAGGAAACTGAGGCCCAGGAATATTCTGAGAGATCTAGTGACTCCCAAAGCCACACAGGGCACCTTAATCTTGGTCAACAGCTGACTTGCCTGAATCATAGTCTCTCAATTAGAGTTCATACTAGTTCACCATCATGAGTGAGTCCGAGGGCCTCAAAAGAGCCCTTGGTGGTGGGGTA